ATACTAATTTTCTTCAAAATACAATTGTGGTGGAGAATTTGGTTTTAACTCAAAATTCCCGTAGTAGTAAAGCGGACAGACTAGATCTTAAAAGATCAGTTTGTCCCGTGTCGTCTCAAGGATCGGCCCAAGGAAAAGTTAAGCAAGACTAGCTAGACAAGATTTACTTGTTGAATCGAAAAGTTTTCAAAAAGTCGAATAAGGAATGGAGATTGAATTTTTACCTTTTAGGAATAAAAAAGTAGGGATGTAATTATTGGTTAGGTGATGGTTCTTTTAAGAGTAAAATCATCAATTACTTTTACTTTAAATCTTTTTTACTAGTAAGTAAATACCCTTTCAAATATTCACTTAACAATTAATCCAATGTCTAGAGATTAATTATCAAAATTACAGGACTTGACTTAATTAAATTCCAGATTTCTCAAGAAATATAATTTTCAAGAATAGATTTGCTTTCTTTCGATTTACAAATCTCAAGTATAAATTCTCAGTAATAAAAACTGGTAAATTACCCTTGACAACAATATAGCTCAACTCAATGATTTTCCCAAAAAAATTACCATCACCATACCAACAATTACATCCCAAATTAATTTAGCTACTCATAATAAAAACTTTCAACACACAAGCATCATAAGAAGGCATTTTTCAATTGATAGTAATAGTAGACAAACTTACTTTAACAGATATGAAGAACAGGAGGTCCGGGATACAATTTACTCCGTGAAAAACTCCAAAAATGATACTAATCTAAAGTATGAAAGTAACTTGGGAGATCTAGGCTAAAGGAAGATAAATTCGGATTTAGGGGAGTGAAAAGTCGTTGTCCAGCCTGTGAAATCGGAGAGGGGGAGGTGCTGTATTTATAGGACTGAACGCAAAGCGTCCAACCCAAGCTGTCCAGATCCAAAGCGTCCAAAGTTAGACATCTTATCACTATTTTCGTGCAACAACGCTTAAATTATGTTGAATAAAATAAGAACGAAATGAACTTATCAAATTCCTCACACTTAAACGTTGCTTGCCCTCAAGCAACAACTTCAGACCACTGAGGGTATGACATTCTCTTATTATTGCTGAAAAGAGCTTTAATTGCATAGTTATGAGGCCAATTCAACTAACATAATCATCAGACTTCGTAAAATAGCTATATTTTTAGAGTTGTCTCCCATTTCTTCTGAAAATATGCAGAGTTTCCACCAAACATGTATTTTTACTTGATTAAATCAAATAGAAGTAAACCATTTACTGAAATAAATGTATTTCTTAAAAGAACTGTTAAGACCAAAAAGATTCAACTATCTCTTGTAAAGCCCATTGTTCACGAATAATTGCAAATAATGTAAAGGTCTTAATATAATAACTTCAATTTGTATTGTTTCTCGACGAGAAGGCTTCTCATTTCACAGAAACTTAATTATTTCACCAAGATTGTGGATTTATTCTATGACAGACTTGCTCCCTCGCCTTATGCGATTAGCGGGAGAAGAAGAGCCCCTTTTCTGGAGATAGAATTTCCAATTTGTCACTTAAGCGCAATCTTAGCGAAAATCATAATTAAAGGTTACAAATAGCAAATATTTAGTGCAGACCTTTACACATTGTTAAGAATTCTAGTGAAATCAATAGTTTTTAAAGGTAGTCAAAGTATCTGACTTAAGAAAAATTTTAAGAAAATACTAGTTAATTTCAGCAATGGTAGTAGTCTATTTGAAAAAAAATTACGTAAAAATTGGAGTTTGCCAAAACCTTGAGAATTCTCAGTTTATATGCTTGACAACCTATCAATTAACTATTCAATATTAGACTAATGATTATGTTAAAACCAAAGTTGCCTACAAGTATACAAGTAAAACACATTTCATTCAATAATTTCAACCAGATAAATTTCCTCCTCACACTTGAACACAACTACGTACGTCCCCGCAGTTGGAAAAAAATGTTTAGGATTATAATACCGGGTTAGAATGAATGACTAATAACAAAAGAACTTACACACATTAATAATCCAAAAAGAGTTGAATAAAATAGAAATAGAGCAAGTGCATAAGTAAATGTTACCTGCAGAAAATAAGAAGTTCCAACAAATCCAGTTGATCCTCAATTCCTGCTCATAAACGAAAAGAAATAAAAGTTTTCAAAGGAAAATAATATAAGGATCACTAAGGGGGGAGGAACAGAGGCGGATGGATCGTCGCCCTCAAAAGAACGAGGGGTGAGCCCGATGTGCAAATCTGAGTAAAAACCTGTAAAGGTTCTTCGAAGCTGAGCAAAGCTCTCTGCATGGGATGCCTGTTGCTGTCCGATTTCGGACATCCTCCGCATGATGGGGGCTGGGCCAGCAGTGTGGTGGATCGGCAGAGGTGGCTGGGGCGGCGGTGGGCCAGGGCAGAGATGCCAAAATAAATTTGGCCAGCGCTGGGACTGCGGTGGCCATGGACTAGCGGTGGGCTGGGGTGTACTGCACCCCGTATTGTTTTTATAACCTCCCGTAAAACCTGTAAAATTATGGTTTTAGTTGTGGGTGATTTTTCTTCCTTTTCAGTTTGGCCCTTCAAATAAGGGCCTGCCTCCCTCATTGAGTATAAGTACCCAATCATTTAGTTAAAAACTAAGTGCTTGAAGAGGCGTACCTTCGTATGTGATAATGAGCTTGTTCCACATATTCATGATGGTCTTTTGCTTATCACTATTTTCGTGCAACAACGCTTAAACTATGTTGAATAAAATAAGAACAAATGAACTTATCAAATTGTCAAGAAGATCCAAATGATAGAGTCACTTGCCTTCGGATGGATGCTCAAACCCAGAATCCACAATAGCATGCAGCAACTCTGGCTTGAGAAGAAAGTCTGTGAAACCCGAACTATGGATTGAATGATATCCCCTAATAATTTAAAAAATACAAATTTTGAGTTCTAGAAATACACACCATCAAAAACACATCTTGTATAAAGTTATGGTGGCATGTTAAAATTTCTTAATTTCAAAATCAACTACACATGAACTTTCAGCTTTCAAGCATCTACAAGCATATCAACTTCAGAGAAACAAGACAAACTGTTCGGATTAATGAGCGAAACATGCATAAATTTCAATTGATAACCAGAAAGAGATAATAGATCTAAGATCAGAAATAAACTATTTGGTCAATAATTATATCTTTAAAATGAAGAGCTCCAGCCAATAATTAGTACCAATGGAGAAACAAAAAAAACTAAAGAATTGAAATCTAAGCTAATACCTTCGATTAGGAAGCCATTTTGCTCAGAATCATAGAAGGATGTTCTTCAATTTTGCTTTAGACAACAAGAATCTACGATTGAGTTCACAGATGAAAGATAACGGCGTAGAATCCACAAATGAACAGTAACGACGTAGAATACCACAAGTTACATAACCAAAATGCAGCTCAAACGAGGGCCTTTTAATACGTGAACAACCTCACAAAATACCAGCCAAGAATCCACAAAAAGTTGGTCAAAAAACAACCATAAACTTGATACATATGCATTCCAAATTCTCGCTGTGAATATTAATGTTTTTAATCTCAAAATAAAAAATTTTATTGTGACATTTTATATTGACCTTATTAGGTATTTTTTGTTATTATGTGTTGAGATTATTAGAATTGTAAATTCAGTTTTGTAAATAAAAATATGTAACTCTGATTTTGATTAATATCTAATAATTGTTTTTAACATGCATGTATTCTCTCAGTTCCAAAATTTTTGGGACATGTTGGAGGACGTGTAAAATATCATTTTTTTAAAATAATTTTATTTAAAAACATAATTGGTAATAAATAGAAAATAAAAATTATACTTACAATTCCTTAGGATACTCATACTATTGATCGTATAAGATCTTACCGGTACTGCTAACTGAACTAGTTAATTGCATAGAAGAGATTATTTTAATACTCATATTTATGGCCGTATAAGATCTTACTGGTACTGATAACAGAAAAAGGTAATTGCACAAATCCAATTCTTCGAAATACTCATACTTTTGATGATATAAGGTCTTATAAGTACTAGTAATTGTACTTATTACCCACATTGATCTAATTCCTTAAGGTACTGATAATTAAATTGCTTAATTACACGGATTGAATGTATTCCTTAAGGTACATTGATCTCATATTTTTGGTCGTATATATGTATGTATGTATGTATGTATGTATGTATGTATGTATGTATGTATGTATGTATGTATGTATGTATGTATGTATGTATGTATATATATATATATATATATATATATATATATATATGAGCAAAATAAGCCTTATGTACTTGGATTTTATCTTGGCTTTTTGCTTGGCCGTTCTGTAGGGGTTAGGCCACCCCATCTCTTGTACTTCTCTTTTGTTTTTATTTAATAAAATTAACTTTTCTCAAAAAAAAAATATATATGAGCAAAATAAGTATTTACTTACTACTTAAATAAGAATATACTTTGTAAATAAAAAATTTTTATGTAAGAAGGGTTACAAAAATGGTATGTACTCAGGGTGCACCATAGAAATACTCATATAGTTATAATTTAAATAAGACTTTGACATGTTTATTTCTAAATTTATATAATAGAATTTTTATTAAGAAATTACATATGTTTTATCATTTCTTTAATTAATTGTAAATGTCTATGTATTATTTTATTCGATTTTTTTGAATAATGTGATAGTAAAGAAAATTATAGACTCAAAAAATTATTTTGTTTCACCCTTGCAATCCACGTGAATTGCATGGGTTAAATTCCTACTCAGTAGTTGTTTTAAAATGAAGATTAATTGGGCTCGTGACCCAAGCCCAATTAAAATTGGGTCCTGGCCCTTGATTTATATCTGCGCAGCTGGGCTGCGGGAGAGATTCATTCATTCATACACCACACAGTAGAGAGAGAGATCCTCGCCGGAAAACCTCCCAGAAGAGGACCATCTCCGGGAGATCTTCAACCGGAGCTCGAGCTGAGGCAAATTGGAAGGAGGACCAACTAAACAAAGCTAATGCGGCTCTCCCACCTCGCCCATAATATAAAGAGTACCCCATAGTTCATTCAGTCCTGAATTGCATCGCTTTGGAGTCGGCGTCTCCCTTGATTCTCAAGAGGTAATTTCGTCGTTCTAAGTATCTCCATGTGTAACTTTCCATGTTGGATTGATTTATTTAGTTGTTCGTCTCCTAGATCTAATTGAGGTCAAGGAATCATCGTGGATCTCACATATTAAGAAACAAAATATGTATCTTTTGTTTCTTAATTCTTGTTTAGGGATAGTGAGATAAAGATGGGTTGTAGGGTAAATGAAATATTGAATAATGTAAATACTTAAAATTTCTTGTTTCGCCCTCATTCAATTTCTTGTGTCTTGTTCAAATTCCTGGCGAAATAAAATTTACGGAGTAGAATATTGTAAATATTTAGAATTTCATGTTTCTCCCTCGTTCAATTTCTGGTTTTCTTGCAGTAATATACCTGCCTTAAAATCAAAAGAAAACAGTAAATACTAAAATCCCCTTACAGCATGTCAATTTCCATGTTTGATTGTTGTTAAAATCCGGTTTAATTGTTGTCCTCCTATATTTAATTGAGGTCAAGGAATCATCATCATGGATTGGCTCAAATTCATGTGTCTCCCTCTTTCAATTTCTGGTTTCTTGCTCTAATATCTCGCACCACATAACAAGAAAAACAGTATGGAGTAAATATTTAATTTCCTCTAAACATCTCCCACCATAAGTGAAATTCCATGTTTGATTTATTTTTGGAATCGGTTCTTCTCCACAGAAAAATGTGGTCTTCGGCAATCGGATTGGACATTTTCACAGCAAGTTTCAAAAAGTTGCCAATTGAAGATCGAATGCGAGCACGGATAGTTTGTAGAGACTGGCAGAGGATACTAGACGGGGATATGGAGCTTATTAACTTTCAAAATGATATGCTATCGCGTGTAGCACTAAGGGATCAGATGCATAAGATATAACAGGTGTGGGAAATCTCCAGTCAGTTTCTCAAACTGGGATTGGATGACATGGGCCACATGGCCACCCTCCAAGATCTTGAAGCCAAGTTGATCTCGGACGGGGAAATGAATCTATTCGTGCTTTTCCGTGAGCTGGTTGAAGAGATTGCTGAGCACAGGAACGTTGGTGTGGGTGAGGTTTACAGATGGGACAAGGATTACGTTCGTGGTCTCACATGTCCCTACTATTCAAGCCCATTCCCCCCCTATTTCCCATAGCCTGGCGTGGTTTATTTACCAAAGACTTTGTGTGACTAAAAATGTCTTGGTTTGTTTGAATGTGTAGACATTGATCAAACTCTTTTGTTTCTTTGATTTGAATGTTAAATCTTTAAATTATTATTACTCCCTCCGTCCATTATTAATCTTCCCGCTTTGACCGGGCACGAAGTTTAAGAAAAGTTGAAATATGCATTGACTTTCTTATAGTGCTCCTGACTCCACCTTTTCTTGACTGTCCGCCCTTCAATCCAACCCACAAGCATCCTAGAGCTTCATGTTTCAGATCTTCATCATCATAGCTCCCACAAGCTATGAATACAACAAGGATTATCATAATCAAGTGTTTTCATCAAAATCTCTATTTGGATGATTCTTAATACCATCTCTGTGACTTCTCCGGCCCGTCGAGTCGCGGTGAACCGTGTTCACGAGTCGGAGAGGTTTACAACCACAGTGCAAATTCCTATTTTGGAAATAAAAACATGAAGTTTCTATTTTGGTACTTTCTCTATGTTTTACTCGGATTTAGGGGGTTTTTTTCATTTATAATAAAACTTCCAATGAATAAACAAGATTTCTTTCATTAAAAAAGATACAATAGCTCTTCACCTGCAAATAAATTTTATACTCCCTCTGTCCCCCATAGATCTTTCCAATAGTCCTTTTTCTTTGTTCACAATAGATCTTCTTATTTCATTTTTAACAATTAAAATACCACAACTACCCCCACTTACTTTATTCATTACACCTCACCCACCTCATTTAATACACTCCACCCATTTTTCATTAAAGCTATTATGATAAACTTTCACCTTTTTTCAACTCTCTTTAAAAACCACTAAAAATCAAAATGAGAACATCTTAGGGGGACGGAGGAGTATTTGTTTACAATATGCTTATTAAATGAATTTATTTTTTCTTTTATTTATTTAAATATTGATGGAAAAATAAAAAAAATACTCAAGTACATTTTAAAATCGAATTAATATTCTACTCCGTATAAAACAAAACACGCCTAGACTATTTTTTTAAATGATTAATTGTTTAAATCAAATAATTTTTAAAAAAATGATGTTTTCACGAGCTTGAATGATTTTGTATTCAAACGTAAAGCAAGAAACGAATAAAATTTTACCAAATGTACTTACAAATTTCCATTCAAAATCATAGGATTACAAATATTTTTATACTATTTTTTTGAATTAATGCATTGGAGAAAAATCATTAAATTTTTAAATATTTTTTGGTTTAATTTTTTTGAATCATAGAGTCGTTAATCCAAGATTTCATTTTTTTGAATTATGCGATAAAGAGGAAGCATCTTTTTTAATCAATACGAAGAAGAAGATAAAAATTGTGATAACGCGGGAGAGATTAATCAATTTTTTAGCTAAACTATATTAATGCGGGAATAAAAGTCATATTTTTTTTCATTCCAAAATTATAAGATCGGCAACCCATGTTATTTTGAATCAATATGGGGGAGAAGAATAATAGGATCGCTAATGTCTTTTTCATTAATATTGTTGGAACTTTTTAGATAAATTAGACATTTTCGGACATAAATTTGGTAGGGTCCACAAAATTGTTTTTCTGAAATAATTATGGACGTTAAATCTCGTAAGTGAGATAAATGTTTCGACAAATTACACGCCATAAATGGTGCTCGGGTGAATGAGAAATTAATTTTCAAAGTTAAATATGAAGGGAAGAGTAAAACCATTGCCCCACGTCGGGTTTTAAACCTTTCGTATTCTCATATTTAAACCTGAACATTTAATTGCGGTTATGAAAGGAACAAGAAACTTCATGTGGTTACTAAAAGATTGCTGCCACGGGACTTGGCCCACGACAAGCGCCACAACATTCGACTGTGACTTGGCCCACATAGCCTCCGCCACGGGACAATTGCTGCACACATGGCCAACACTTTATGTGGTTACTAAAAGATTTCCGTACTTTAAGTACATGCTTGGTACACTTGGTCATTATGAGAAACATGTGGTCATTATATGAATTCCATAAGTGAAATACATGTATGAATATGTGTGTATCTATATAGTTTATCACTATGTTATCTACAGCTAGTTAACCACTCAGCTTATGCTGAGCGTATAGTGTTGTTTTGCTATACGCAGGTAGGCTTGATGAACCTGGAGCCTATCCCGGAAAGACACGAGAGAGGAGATTAACGAACGCTGGATGTGGTTTTTCTATTACTTCCTCATTATGATTAAATTAAATCATTTGGGCTTAAACCTACACTTGTCGTATTTTACTTCACGAACTGGACTTATTTTGGTTTTTGTTTCTGCGACCACATCGTTTCATTTACTAGTACGTTTTAAGGAATTAAATTCCCATGGTCATTATTCATAGCATAACAAGGTCTTTACATACCAACGTAACAAGGACTTAAGAGGATTTCATTTATTAAATTATAGCAAGGGGATTTGTTAAATTTTAGGGAACCAATCTCATGGATTTTTTTGGTATGAATAGAACAAGGATTTTCATAAATAAGTGTTTTCATCAAAGTCTGGATTTGGATGATTCTTAATACCATCTTTGTGACCTCTCCGGCCCATCGAGTTGCAGTGAACCGGGTTCACAAGTCAGAGGTTTACAACCACAGTGCAAACTTCTATTTTGAAAATAAAAACATGAAGATTCTATTTTGATAGTTTCTCTATGTTTTACTCGTATTTAGGGAGATTTTTTCATTTATAATAAAACTTCCAATGAATAAACAAGATTTTTTTCATTAAAAGAGATACTATAGCTCCCAATAGTGATTACTAGCCCAAGAATACATTGTTGGACACGATTTTATTATGTGGCCTAAGTTATCATTTATCTAATTAATTGATCATTCACCTAATAAATACCCTACGTATTTAATTGGTAATTATTCGATGGACGTAATTACCCTTACGACCTAATTAGGGTTTCCCCTTGGGTGTATATATATAGAGGTCATTATGCATATATCAACACACCAATCTTACGCCTCTTCTCTACCTCTCTATTCTCGTGAGTCTCGCCCTTACCTTAGCCATCATAAAAATACACCCTAAAAGGGAACTCGATCTGCGTGAGAATCATGGCCTCATCCCTAACTGCGTTCACAGGATTATCAGGTACACATGATTAAATCCCTAATTTATATTTTATGTTTAAGAATTGATCAACATGTGGTATCAGAGCGATATGTTGATTAATCAATTCTACTTTCGTTCCGTAAGATACTGAAATTTAGATCAGATCAGTAGTTTTTAACCCTAACGAAATTTATGTGTTTAAACTTGCTTGCTAATGGGTTTCCCATTCATGTTCTCTAATTTGTTAGATAATCTTAAATTCATACGGCACCCCATTAACAAAAAAAATGTGTTTTTTTTAAGATTTGGTGTATTGCGTTTCCACCCAAAAAAAAACACAAATTTGATCTGTTCTCGAAATCAGCAAGTATAATTTGTGATGAATTATTTAAGGTGTTCATCCTTATTTTGATGAAATCATCTTATTTTGGTATTTAATTTGGAATAAAATTGTATTTCCTTAAATTGTATAACATATCTCACTTTTGCATAATATATTCTGTTTCCTTATTTATTGATTTATTTTACCTAGAATAGCAAAACTAAGTAAGGGATATGCTAAAATACCATTAAAAATTTATTTTTTTTACTTGTTGGAAAATCTCTTGCCTTATATGCCTTTTGATTTTCTAATTAAATTAATCTTAATGGGTTCCCCAATTTTTGTAGCCCTGTCCCGAACCGCTATAACTTTTGCGGTTAATTAATTATTAATATTAAACTTATAAATCATTTGACTAATCTTAAATAAAATTTATTTTATGATTAGTTAAATTGATTTATTTTGCTTGACTTGAATAATACCTTAGAGTACACTTCTGCCCAAAGGTGATGTGTAACATTTGTAAAATTTATTTCAAGTCTTATTAAGCATTGTCATTTAGTGCATATCCTTAAATAGATATTAGCATGACACTCGCCTTAAATACATAATATTTCACTTCTGTCCAAAGATGATGTGTTATAATTGTGTACTGCGAACTAAATATATATGTGCATTAAAATTTAAATGTTTCACTTCTGCCCAAAGGTGATGTGTTACATTCAAATTGCACATCATAATTTTATTATTCATAATACTTAAATAAGTGGTCATAACCAAAGTGATAGCCATTTGTTTAAGTAGAATTAAATTTAGTCTATTATTTTGGTGTTATAATAGACTCTTATCACAGCTTCATTACTATATAATGGTCCTTAACTTCGCCAGCCTTAGTTCATTACCCCTTAACTTCTTCTTTAATTATGTGTCTTATTTATCTCATCTGAATCCACTATCAGCCCCAAATATGGGAATTGAAACCTTGAACGGTGTGAATTTTTCTTCATGGACAGATTCATTGATGCTAACTCTTGGGATGTTGGATTTTGATTATGCAGTGAGAGAGCCTGCCCCTCTTATGCTCATTTAAAATTCCATCAGCATAATCATCAGGGGAGCTATTCCACATTCATCTAATGCTAAAACATATCTGGCTTCCGTGGAGGAACAATTCAAAGCAACTTCTAAGGCACATGCTAGTACTCTTATTTTGAAGATGGTGACTACAAAATATTACGGGAATAGCGGCATTCGTGAGCACATCATGATGATGAACGACATGGCCCGCAAGCTCAAGGGATTAGACATGGAGATCAGTGAAGGTTTTCTGGTGCACTTCATAATGACTCCTCTTCCTGCATCTTTTGAAGCTTTCAAGGTCAACTACAACACCCAGAAGGTCAAGTGGTCGATGAATGAGTTGATTGCTATGTGTGTACAAGAAGAAGAGCGTCTGAAGCTGGACAAACCTGACGTGGCTTACCTCATGACCGCTAATCCAAAGAAGAGGAAGGGCAATGTCAATAAGAAGGATGTTTCTAAAGTCCAGAAACTTGATGCAAGTGCTTCTTCCAGCTCTAAGAACTCCAAAGGGAAGTCTTACTGCAAGTTCTGCCGCAAGGAAGGACATAGACAGAAAGACTGCCAAGATTTTAAGGAGTGGCTGACGAAGAAAGGTAATCATCTTTACATGATACTTGAGTCCTTTAATTTAAATGTTCCAACTAATACATGGTGGTTTGACCCTGGTTCAATGGTTCATGTAACCAACTCACTTCAGGGATTCCTTACAATCCAGAAGCTGGAAAGAAACCGAAGAACACTTAAGCTGGGGAATGGAACAGAACTAGCTGTCGAAGCCGTGGGAACCTTAGAAATAATAATGAAAACTGGTTTATGTATTAAACTTTATGATACCTTATATATTCCTGAGATTACTCAGAATTTAGTATCAGGACCAAAGTTAGACATAGACGGTTTTGATGTTTCTCATGGTCATGGCAGACTTACTATTAGTTTCAATTCTCAAGTGTTTGGTCATGGTTTTCTGGATGGTAGTCTCTATAAATTAGAACTAGATGATGATTTTTCCAAATCTTTGTTGTCATATAATATCAATCAGACAATAACAAAGAGAAAACGAAAACGAGACTTAGAAACTTCATCCATGTTGTGGCATCAACGCTTAGGCCACATTTCACGAGAACGTTTATCTAGACTCGTGAAGAATGAAGTGTTACCATCTCTCGATTTCAATGATGTTGGAACATGTGTCAAATGCCTTAAAGGTAAAATGACATCAGTGAATAAAAAAGGTGCCACTAAGAGTTCTAATTTATTAGAGCTCATTCACACTGACATTAGTGGTCCTTACTCAATTACTCGAATAACTGGACATAACTCATTTATCACTTATATTGATGATTATTCTCGTTATATGTACTTGTATCTCATTAAAGAAAAATCTGAATCACTTACAACTTTTAAAGATTATAAAACTGAAGTTGAAAAACAACTTGATCGTCAGATAAAAGTTGTAAGATCAGATAGAGGAGGTGAATATTATGGTAGACATACTGATGTGGGTCAAGCTCTTGGTCCATTTTATGAGTTTTGTAAGGCCCAGGGGATTGTAAACCAATATACCATGCCTGGTACTCCTCAGCAGAACGGTGTTGTTGAGAGATGAAATAAGACCCTAATGGACATGGTACGCAGTATGTTAGCCAACTCAGGTTTACCTCTATTTCTCTGGACCGAGGCCTTAAAAACAGCTGTTCATATACTCAATAGGGTTCGTTCTAAAGCTGTCCCTAAAACTCCTTATGAACTCTGGACAGGAAGGAAACCGAGTCTAAGATATATGAAAGTATGGGGTTGTCTTGCCGAAGCTAAACTTTATAATCCCTTCTTGAAGAAACTCGACAAGAAAACTGTAACTTGCTACTTCATTGGTTATCCTTCTCACTCAAAAGGTTACATATTTTATTGTCCTTCCCATGTCACTCGCATTGTAGAAACCAAAGATGCTCATTTCATTGAAGATTTTAAGGTCAGTGGGAGCAGTGAAAACCCTTATGATGAATTGCTAAAAGTACAAGACGCGGGGGGAGAGACTTGTCGATTACTTTACCTCCAATTACTCCTCTTGTACTCAATGCCAATCCAGAGGACACTGCACCACCTCATATTCCTAATGTAGCTGGAAATGAAGACACCTCAAATGATCACCATCAAGACAATTCCGCCAATGCTCAACCCGATAATTTGCTCAGGAGGTCATCTAGGTCTAAAAGGCCTACTAACTTTGATGATTATGTTACCTACCTGACTGAAGCAGAAATGGATGCGGGAAAGTTTACCGATCCTACCTCTTATAATGAAGCCATTAATAGTGATCAGTCTTCTGAATGGAACAAAGCCATGATTGAAGAGCTTGACTCCATGAAGAAAAATAATGTTTGGGATTTGGTTGAATTACCCAGCGGTTTAAAACCCGTAGAATGTAAATGGGTCTTCAAAACAAAACTGGACCCGAATGGAAACATTGAACGCTACAAAGCGAGATTGGTTGCAAAGGGCTACACTCAGAAAGAGGGAATTGACTATCAAGAGAACTTTCTCCTGTCTCTCGAAAGGATTCCTTAAGGATCGTTATGGCCCTTGTAGCTCACTTTGACATAGAGCTACATCAAATGGATGTCAAAACCGCTTTCCTTAATGGTGATTTGGATGAAGAAGTGTTCATGAAACAATCCGAAGGATTCAAGTCTGAAGGTCAAGAGCACTTAGTCTGTAAGCTAAAGAAGTCCATATACGGGTTGAAGCAGGCATCACGTCAATGGTACCTAAAGTTGCATCAAGTCTTGAAGTTAGAAGGTTTCATAAAGAATCAAGTGGATCAATGCACCTACCTCAAGATGAGTGGGAGCAACTTTACTATACTTGTCCTTTACGTAGATGACATTCTATTGGCAAGTAATAGTTTAGACATGTTGCATGAGTCCAAGAGCTTACTCTCGCGTAATTTTGACATGAAAGATCTCGGAGAGGCTTCTTATGTTATTGGCATCGAAATACACCGAGATAGAGTCAATGGTATTTTGGGATTATCTCAAAAGGCTTACATTGAGCGTGTCCTTACACGTTATAACATGCAACATTGCTCTCCTTCTGTGGCTCCAGTAGTTAAGGGAGATGTTTTCGGTTTATTTCAATGTCCGAAAACAGAGGTTGAAAAAGAACAGATGAGAATGATACCTTATGCGTCAGTAGTAGGAAGCCTTATGTATGCACAAGTCTGTACTCGTCCAGATATCGCTTACATTGCTGGAATGTTAGGTCGTTATCAGACCAATCCTGGTCTTGATCACTGGAAAGCAGCTAAGAAAGTTCTTCGATATCTACAAGGGACAAAAGACTATAAACTGA